ATCAAACCATTCTATGATTCTATGATAAGGCAGAGAAAGATAAAGTTCCCAGACTTTTTCTGCAGAGTATTATTCAACAGGATCATGACTTTTTCTACTACTTTTTATACCTGTGTCTAGCTTGCAAGAATTAAGGAAATGCATGTGTGCTGTTTTGGCCGAAGACTTTAGAAGACTGTTAGGAAAATATCATCTCAACAATCTATTAAAAACAGTAGATGAAACTCTGCTGACTTCAATAGCAGCACACACTGAACTTCCCTCAGGATCTAACGTGAAGCACCAGTATAGCAGGACTCACAGCTCTCTAGTAAAAGCCTAGCATGAAGTCTTACCTGTGTCTGCAGTGTGAAGCATCAGCCAGCGGATTGCTACATTGCCATCTCGCAGGCAATTCAGCAGCTTGGGAATGTTGTCGAGCACCAGCTCTTCCCTTAGACAGCCCTCTTTGAGAAACTGCTGCACCTGAGTGTGCACTCGCTCAGTGACTCCAGCATATCTGCTTGCCTTGGAATAAACAAAGCTTGCATCAATATAATCCTTGCCTCAAATGGAATACATCATGTACAATGTGACTGTGGCTTCCTGAGAACTTAAAGGGCACACAGAGCAAGTAACTGATATAAAAATTACTATCATTGCTGGTAGGCAATATCATACACTGTAACTGCATGACAAAGGATGCAAGCTAGATTTTAAAGCAAAGAGCCTACACAGGAAGCATAATCTTTCAAAAATGCAGACTTGTAAACTTCCTATATTCAGTTAGGCACTCTCTAGAAATTATTCATAAAAAATGGTACTCATATTTTATTGCCTAATGAGAAAGAACAACAAAAATCTATTCCAGAATGGAAATGTTTGTTAGGAATTAAATGTCAGTTCTACTAAGCAAACTTCTTCCCTAAAGACTGCTCATATTCCTTAAGTTTACTGGACAATATAAAGTACAGTTCTCCTAATTAAACACTTCTGCCTGTTCTTTCCTGAGCACTGGGGTCAGATTCTGAGGAGGCATTTAGCGATCATCAGTCAACTGATTTGTTGATTGGGCAAACAATCAACCAACTCAATATTACTCACTGTTTTTTAGGCATGGAAAAAATAATTTTATATAAAAAGAGCTAACTGCATTGCATCACACAACATTCTGCTATTATTCCTTTAAATCAGATGCTTTTTCCAGATTATTGTTTAATTTGGGAGGCCCCATTTAAAACTGTGTCACACCCTGTCAGCACAAATGTGTAACTTCTAAAACTGTTACCTATGAAAGACCAAACACTATAGTCAGCTTAAGACATACCAGTACTGAATAAAATGGCAATGAGTGCTAGTATCTATTCAGTCAAGTCACAACCCTGAAACTTCTAGGGGAAACAAACACTGCAAGAGGAATTGAAACAAGCAGTGCAGTGAAAACCAGATTTTGAAACTTTGAAGTATCTTTAACTCAAATTTATGTAGAGAGTTATGTACTCAAAGTACTGTATTTGAATGTAATGCAAATAATTGTATGCAAGAAAAAGACCCGTGCATTATTGATGTCATATAATATACCTGAGATGCCCACACAGCTTGAACCTTGCTAAAAACACTTAACTATGGCTTACGTACCTGCTCTTTGACATTTGAAAGATCCAGTGTGTAGTTCAGGGCAGTTTTCGCAGCTTTGTAAGGTTCCCATGCTTCTGCTAGATTTACAGTGATTCCCATGTAAATGCTAATAACCTAAGTTGGAAGCAGAAAACAAGAAGTTGCATTTATATTTTTATTAAAAAAAAAGACATACTTCTCATTTAGCAATATAAGTAGAAAGCGATATGCTGTGGGTATAAATAGGAGATAACTAAACTTTTTTGGTAGCTGTACTTTTTGCTCCACCACTGTTGGTAATCAAGGAAATAAAAGGCACATAGTTAATTAGAGACTTAGTTCTGAAAAGAAGCTGACAGTTCTTTCAGTCACTGTGTATGATCCTTGGCCTCTATTTTTTTGCCCATGAACTTGTGACTTCTTTTTCATTTTGATGATACTAGGCAGAAGACTGATGAAAGCAACTGGGAAAACAACTATGACAGGAGGGTAAAATGATCTGAATGAATCCTACTCTGAGAATGCCCAAAGGACCAAACTGAAATGTAATGCACCTTCTATGGTGAACACAAACAGAAGGAAATTATGATTCCATGCTGGCATTTTTAAGGAGCAAAGAGGAACTGATTTCAGACCCCTAGTCCAAGTTTAAGTGTGATTAAAAATACAGATTTGTGGTTGACTTACAAGTGTTTGTAAGATACCTGACTAAAAATGGAAGCCTTGGGTTACTGACAGATGAAGGATATACAGAGCTGTGCCATTATGAGCTTTGTCACACTATTGCTCCAACATTCCTCCATCCAGGACCGATCACATCTAGGGGGATACTGTCAGCCTTTGAGCTCTTCTCACAGTGTCAAAAAGGAAGCTAGTAAAGGCAAATGGGATACTAGTCTGCTGATATGAGGATCCCTCTCATATTGTTGAAGTGAAACTCATTATTTCCTGTAGATGACAGTTCCTCAAAAGGCTACACTTCAACTACTAGCAATCATTCGAAACCAGCCTAAGAGTCAAGTACTCTGTACAATTCAGCTAACTTAGCCATACCTGATCACAAGAAGATAAGGTGTTGTCTTAAAATAACAGTTTGTACTATGCAGTAAAGTGAATAAAAATGCTGGCATTATCAAAAAATCACAATGTCAAGTTCTCATTTCTAAAATAAGCTTGCAGTTTTTCAGAAACTGATGGGTTCTAATGTCTATTAAAATAGCCAGTTATTACAGTTTCCTTCCTCCTTTCTTCACTGTTCCACTTATGGTACAGAAGAATACAATTCGAAACCAACACAGATACATAAATTAATTTATTTATAGTTTCTTTGTTAAGTCTGATTCCCTTTGATACAGACTACCTGGGGACTCTATTGTTACATGCCAGCCTATTTCAGTAGCATTTTTTGCAGAGTAGGGCTTCTCGATGGAAATCCTAAATCTCAATACAGAGACACGCAGTAATTCCATTTTGATCATTGCATCTGAAAAGGTCTATAGAGTTGCACAGAGTGACAGCTTTTGCTTCTAAGTTGTTCGGACAATGGCATGAAATGAATCATTAAACAAGTTTTCCAATAACATCAATGTGGGAGGATTTCTGGGAGGGCAAGACGGTCATCCAGAGTGTCCTTGACAAGCTGGTAGAATTCACCAGCAGAAACCACATGAGGTTCAATAATGATAAATACAAAGACTTGCACTTGGGACAGGACCAAACCCTTGCAACAGCACAATCTGGGAACTGTCTGTCAGCAATTCTGCAGAAAAGGACTGAACATGAATCAGACATGAAGACTTATGACAACAAAGAGTAATCATACCCTAAGCTATGTCAGCCAGACTGTAGCCAGAAGATTGAGGGAAGTGATTACTTCCATCCAGTCAGCCTCCTCACGATGAGACAGACACGGACAAACTGGAATGAATCACATAGAAGGCCACTTATGGGGACCCACTATGAAAGCAGAGGCTGAGGGAGCTGGGTTTGCTTAAGCTGGAGGAAAGAAGACTAAGGGATTTGACTGCAGTCTTCCACCACCTAAAGGGAATTTATGAATAAGACAGAGCCAGACCGATCTCAGTGATGCACAGTGAAAATACAAGAGGCAACAGTCACAAGCTACAACAGGGGAAATTCCACTTGTTCAGAAGGAAGAAATTCTTCACCGTGAGAGTGATTAAGCACAGCCACAGGTACCCACAGAGGCTGTAGATCTTTGTTTTAGATATTTTCAAAGCAACTGGAAAAGTCCCAAGTAACCTTATTTAACTTTGAAGCTAGCCCTGCTTTGAGGAAAAGGCTGGACTAGAAGATCCCTGTATTACCTTCCAGCCTACATTGTTCTATAATTCATTTTGCCACGATGGTATCAGAGTAGTTGATTTAAGCATTTTAGACAATAACCGGTATTTTTCAAGGGACAGCTTTCCACATTTATCCAGCAGGTTTGGCTCAGACTGCTTCATTCTGAACAAAGTAAAATTTCCCCAGAGAAGAATCTGTTCTAGTTTTAGGATATTATTATTTGCTATAATGCACGCTGTAAAAAGAAGGTAAATTGTTCCTATAACATTCAACCCAGGGAACAGTTTTAAAACAGAATAATTTTTTACCCAATTATCTGGAAAGTATTTATCCACAATCTCTCTCATTTTTGCTTGTTGAGTGTGAAGAACAGAAGGGTCAAAATACAGTATCACATAGAGCATCGCGGCCTGAGTAGCCAGGGCAGTGCTGCGGTGTTCTGGTAACGGGTATGCCGAAACCTAGGAAAAGGGAACAAACCAAAACTGAACATAATATAATGCAACATAAACCACTTGCAAACATTAAAAAGTACGGTATATAGATACTAGGAGGCAAGGAGGATATGTAGGTAAGCTGGACATGCTTGCACATGCAGCGTATTTACCAGATATACTTTATAGAAAATAAAAGTTGACTGTGTAGATGCCTGCTAACTTTAACAGGATATAGTAAGATATTACTATGCTGAAAATGAGTCAAAGGAGGGATGAACCGAAGAGATTAGGATGAGTTGAAAGGGGCAGAGTTAGAAATAAGTATTTAATAACAATCAGGTGTGTGTAGTTCATCTCAGATAAAAAAAAGCATTCATTTAACTGAAGTAATAGGCAATTAGGATGCAGATAATTTAATTATTCACCAATTCCATGTACCAGCAAAATCAAACCGATTAAAATTATTAACTGAATTTTCATTTAAAAATATATATAGGATTGTATACAAGACCTTCATGTTAACAAAAAAAGTTGGCATCAAAATCATACTCAATAAGACATAATGACTTGTCATTAGGAAAACAGTTCTCTGTTTTTATTTAGTAGTATTCTATTTTTCTTTAATTTTGTTTGGTTATTTTATTAGGTTAAATGTTCAGACTAGTAGGAAAAATCAGGAGGCTTCTACCTACTGCCATCAAGAATAAACTGCAAGTGTCAAAGGAGATAACACCTCAGACATAACACAATTTAGTAAAACAGGCCATATTCAGTTTGGGTTGAGCTGAAGATTTCTACCCTACTTTTTGTACTACATTTGGAAAAAATACATAGGTTATAATCACGCTTTGTATAAAAACATTAATGTTTTTCATTTTCAACTGTAAGCACTAGAAAATAAAAATCACAAACTGTAGTATTATTTTAATGCAAAGGCAATAAACCAACAATATTATATAAAAAAGGGAGAATGTAATTTTGATACAAAATATCAGCCAATTTAAGTAAGATTTCTAGGTTAAGTACTTTACAAGAGCATAGCCTCACAAACACTTCATGGTTTCCTATCAGAGACACAGATTATGTCATAAAACCAGCTCTCTTCACAACTTGCTAAGTTCTCTTTTTTTTTTGTTTCTAGAACTCTGCGCATCTTTAAAAATTCTTACAGTATAGTACCTGAAAAGGCATTTTTTCCCCTTTGAAGGTTAATATGTCTGTCAATAGTATAAAAATGTTTTCCATAAGGTCCCTAGTTTTAAATTATTACTCCTGTCTAAACACTTAACCTTTTGTTTCTTTCTTACAATCATTCATTAATCTTCAAACGCTGGTTTTCTGGCAGCTATAAACTGCTTCAGTTTTTCAGGATTCACCAAAAGTGTGCCAATAACTACAGAAATAAGATCACTTGCCCATGCTAAAGACTGAAACCTGCTCAAAAACAAACACTTAGTTAAAGATCTGTCAAAGGAGTCATATTAGAAGAGACTGTAAATATAGTAGCCATTACTCATACTTTGCTTCAATTTTTGTTTTCTTTTATTAATACAGTTGTCATAGTTAAGAACTGCAATACCATATTCCTTTTTAAACACAGACTACTAAGGGATGATGAATATCTATGCAGTAATTAAAAGAATGAGAATCTCTGAAGGAATTAAGAGTTATTAAGGGTGGCCAATTATTTATGATTTAAAGACATTAAATTAGAGGTTTTTTTACTGTGAGGTTGGCCAAACACTGGAGCAGGTTGCCTAGAGAGGTTCTGCAGTCTGCACCTCTGGAGATACTCAAAACCCAACTGGACGCAATACTAGACAATCTGCTCTAGCTGACCCTGCTTGAGCCAGGGGGTTAGACTAGGTGATCTCAAGAGGTCCTTTCCAACCTTCATGAATCTGTGATTTTTTTTCTTTCTGGGCTTCATAGTTGAGTAATTAACCTGAGAAACCATTTTATATTCAATTTTAGATCCCTTTTTTATCTCACAGTAACTTACCTGGTTATAAATGTCATCTGACCGTAAGCGGCCAATAACCATGCTAATGAATGTTTCACTTATGGGTACCCTGCTGAAGTAACTCTCGGGGTAGTTTGGAGGTCTTTTAGCTCCAGGTTGGCTTGAGTATCCAGTACTTCGAAGCAATTTACAGATATCATCTAAATTAGAATCAGCAGAGGATCGGGCTGCACTGTTTTACAAAACAAAGGAACAAAAAGTTAGCTCTATGATCTAACCATTTCCTCTTCCTCCCCTTGCAACCTTGCCTTTCCTCCAAGAAAATGATCAGATAGTAAGGTCTGGGAGATTTCTGGTTGTTTACTGCATGAATATAATGTTCATATTATAGGAAGACACCAATAAATGTCCCTACTGGAATCTCAGATAAGCACCCAAAGCACAAACAGAAAAAATCACTTTATTCAGGAACAGAAATGAGTAGCTTTATGTTCAGAGGAGGAATTTTGTTCTGTGTTTTGTTTTTTTTCTTCCCCTTTTCTCCTCCCCATTGCTGAATTCCCCTTGCTGATCCACTTCTGCATTCCAGAGTTAAGGATCCTCTCTCATTATATACTGAGAGGCATAAACATAGTCAAAGAAGCATAGAAACTGGATACCTCCTTTTTTGTACGTGTGAAAGGATTTGTACTGATACCTTTTGAGACCCTAACTGTCATACAATGATACTGTCAACGTACCCTGGAAACTCATTATTGATTTGACTAATCAAGCACTGTAACCACAAGAAGCAATACATTTGTCATCTAGATACTCAGGACTTTTCACCAAGATTTGCTCACACATTGGGGAACCTTTGATATGGCACTTGCCAAGTTAAAGCTTTAGCTGAATTGTCAGTGGACTTCAAATTTCAATTGTGACAGTGTGAAAAATCTGTCGCTGCTGTTTGCAGCTAGACTTGGAAAACCAGCTAATGCAAGGAGTTCTATTAACATGCAGAGAGCTCTGCAGAATTATCAGAGTCTATCAGTATGGTCAGACAGTGAAAAAGTTGCTGATATTTCCATTTATCTTAATTCAATAACCTAATTAACTGAATATCTTACATCCTTTCAGCCTCGAGTGCTTCTGAAAACCAATATACATTACCTGTATCTGTAGTAGGAAACCAACATTCTTTCTCTGACTTCTCCTTCAGTCTTCTGATCAATGACCAGTAGCATGACTCCATATAAATAGAGCGCTTCACACTGTTTAGAAAAAGGAAGAATGATGGGAAGAAATCACAGAAACACAATTTTGTAGTGACATGTAAAGACAAATATGTACTGGCAAACTAACCCAACATCAACTACTTAGTCAATACAACATGAAAAATGGCAGGCTGTACATTTTTGATCTGTCCTCTCTTAAAAGCAAGTCACAGCATTTCCATGCATTCAGTGAATGTAAATCTTCATCTAGTCTGGCACTAAACTCGTTGGTTCATTTTCTACTATTACAGAGCTGTTCAATACTTACTAGAAGCTGTTTTCCATCTTCATTAAGGAGGACTGTTTCTAATGTTTGCTGAATGTAAATTCCTTCATTGAGGTCATCTAAATATCTAGGGATCATAACAAAGAGTTAATCATTGACTACTTTGCTCTCAAATCATATGTCCTCAGAACTCAATTGGTCAATTTTCTCTGAAAGTCAACAGACACATCAGAACATTTCCCTAGTACAAGTAACGCTGAGTTTTTCAGACAAAGAAGAAGAGATACTCTACTACGAAATGAGAGGCTGGAACTCCTAGCTAGAGCCAACCAGTTGGTAAAAGCCTCCTTCCATACCTTGAAGCTGTATGTGAAAGACACCAGAGGATACTTTGTAACTTACAGCTAACATCCTCTTAATCTCCTTATGGAACAGCCTGAGAAGACAGTACTGAGGCGGCTTCCACTCCAAAATTTAGTAAAACTGTCATATTTTCAAGTTACGTCAAAAATATCTCCTGGAAATACCATAAATTGATCTCAATTGCAATTTGGAAGGTAGAGCTAGAAATAAGAGTATGTTCATCTCGATTAACAGAAGATTTCTTCCTATTAAAGGATTTTCCAGTAACACTAATTATTAATAAGTAATGTTAAACATTTACTCTTTTAACTAATCTTTTCATATAAGATCAATAACAAAACCAATTCTTATGCTTAAGGTTCTCTGGAACTTTTTCTTAGAGTATTTCATAAACGTTTCAAATTTTTTGGTACAGGTTAGAGTAGTAAATTTGAGAATATGGCAACTCCACTGAAAAATTAAGTTCAGGAACATAACACCTATGAAAGTTAAAGAAAAAAACCCTAACTGATTTTCTGTTTTGCAAGACCACAAAAACCTTAGTTTAACAATATGGAGTCTCCTTTTATTAAAAAAATCTTCAAGACAATCTTCACAATAAAGAAGAAAAATTAGGTTACAATTGAGGAAACTGGGTGGAGAGGTTAAATGTTTTCAAGTCATATATTAAGCTGGTAAGCAACAGTAGTAGTAAAAGTTAGTGTTCACTTCAGCAATCCAAGTTTCCAGGTCCACATGAATATGCTTCAACAACGAGCATATTGGGTCCCTTAAGGAAAAAGTTTCTCATTATTAAGACTAAACAGTAATCTAGTCTTTAAGAAAACCCACATGTATTTAATATACCATACCTGTTTAAATCTACAATGTATTTATGTACACTCTGAAAAGCTAGATAAAATCTCGTCAAAATTTCAATGTTGTTCTCACGAAATTCTTCATCTAAATCCAGTAACTCAGGTTTGGCTTCCAGTTTGCCTTCACAAGTCTCAGGCCCCTAAGAAAAGAAATTCATCTTTAGAGACAATGTTTGACTTTGGCCTCTACTTGACCTCTCTGCAGTAGGACACAGAATATGTGCACCCACCACTGTGTGCACCACACCAGAATTAACATTTCGTACTAAACAAGTATCTGTAGTTTTCCAAGCTACTTTATGATTGAACATTGATTCCATAAAGATGAGTTTTACACTTTGTTACAATCTGCAATGATTTTAAATATGATTTATCCTATGTAACCAATGGAAAAGAATAGTCAATGCTCTGGGTAAAGCCCCAGTGCATCTGAAGCCACTGTGTGGTTTTTGAAGTACTATCTCCCTGCTGGAATTTTTTTCTTTTACGCATTTGATCTGATCAATTTCTCAGATTGAAATCATAACATTGAAGCCTCGCAAAGCTTAGTACCTTCTCATACAGTTACACTGCTTCAAAGTATTATACCTGTTTTTTTTATAGCCTCTGGATTGAGCTCAGTGCTAGTCCCCCAAATTAAGGCAGAAACTATGTAATTAGCAATCATAGGTGAAAAAGGGTTGGGATGAAGAGCCTGACTTCCTTAAGGCAATGGTACAAATTTTTCTAACCATTTACCCCTGTCAACATTTCTCATAACCACTCTTTGGTCTCACCATCACCACCTAAATGAAAATATCGTTAATGTTTAATTGAAAATATTAACATTTAAGTGAAAATACTGTTAAAGTCATTCCACAGACCACTTACAACAGCATGAGAACATGGCTTAAAAGGATTTAGTCAACATGAACTCCATAAAACCAGCTTAGAATAGAATTAAAATAAAATATCAAGCTTAATACCTAGCTGACAATTTTTGTGTGGTTTTAAAAATGCTCTTCTGCTTCTCTTTTTGTGCAAAATATCTACACAAAGCAAAGGATAAAAGCTGACCCCAAACTGCTTATGAAGTTCAAATGCACAAAGTAAACAGCCTGAATTTTCAAAACTCAAATCTCTTCTCATTAGGTAATTCTAAGAATCATGAATATAGAAATGGTGCATTCACAGTGAAAATATCTGTAAATGCACTAATCTCTGCTTTATGTCTTTTATTGATTTTGGGGTGATTACTCTGAAAAGCAGCAGCACTGTGGTGCTTCCTTAACATTCAAAAATCTTACAATTTCAAGGATAATTGCATTTCTCACCAATTATACCTATCTGCTTTTAAATTTTCAATTTGTGCAAAAAAAAAGACTTCTAACAAACACTTAGATCTAAAGGTATCTGGTTTTCAGCATCCAAGACTTGCAATTAGTGCTTGAAATTTACAACTCTCACTCAAAAGCCAAATAAATTAAAAAGATAAAAAAAATCCTCCCCCCTTTACTGTTAACACTTCTTGTATTGTACAATCCAGATAAAGTCAGATTATATAGTCTCTGTACTTCCTTCTTAATCATGCTGGAGAATGACAGAGGGAAATAGGTACTGAAAGAAGCTTAATTTTGTAAGGGAAATAAGGGCTTTTCATGGACACTACTCTTTGATTTGTTTGTTTATTCAATGCATATGACGAGTCCAGTGAATGAACAATCACAGTACTGTTAAACAGGAAAGCAGAAAGCAGTTTTCATGGCTGCAAAGAATAAGCTACAGATAACCAAAGGAAGATGGGCATACTGCCCACAGTACTGCTCTAAAGGAAAACAACCAACTGCACAGGCTCAGCACCTGCTGGTGAAAGTATAATTTAATGTTCCTGCAGGAAATACTACTAATAATAACGATAATAATAACAATAATAATACCATCCCCCAGAATCCAATACTCAACTTTTGTATAATCAGTATGCATCAGAGCTCATAGGCCAGATGACTTGTCAAACACTTTGAAAGGTGTAGCTGGGACTGCTCTTGAATGAACTTAAAACTGTCACCCTCTTCTTGCCCTGATATTCTCAGTGTAGGTAGCAGTCGTATTTATATTCTGCCTAGGGGTCTAAGCACAGAACTTACCCTAGACTGTTTTTGCTCACTGAAATGAGTCAGCTGAGGCTGGGTACGATCAGAAGTACATAAGATACAAGACAGCCCAGAAGAGCAACATTAGGATGCAAGCATATCCCAATTGATATCCCAGATTGGTGAATTTTTGATAAAAACTAAGCAAATAAGAAGTCATGATAGTCAATTCTGAAGATTACTAGTAATAAACACAATAGTCAGGAATGGCTGTTTCATAACTTGAAGCATCCTCATGCAGGACAGCAATGCTTTAAGGAAAAGTTTAATAATAAAAGGATTTACCTTAAAATAACTGAAATCAAATATGATATCCCCATACTTCTGTTGGTCAGCCTTGTCCTTTAGCCTGAAAACACCAGGAATGAATTCAGAAAGTCTCAGAAGTTCTGCAATGATGGCATTTCCACAGGAGACAATTCGAAGAATTGCCTGACCACAGAGATTGTTTTCAGCTAGAAAATCAACCATTGTGGTGGTGGATGTGACAGAGCAGCAGAAGTCCTGCAGTTGGATTCTGATCGTTAGTCTTTAGGTTATTTGAAGAAGAAAGTCAGATGAGGAAACTAGCTGCGCCATTAATAGCCTGTAAAAACAAAACCACACACAATGAGTGCTTTGTATTCATATTTTTGACAGTTTAATCTACGTGGATCTTTAAGCATACTCTCAAATATTTCAATTTATGAAATCTAAATTATCCACAGCTTTGTAAAATGAAAAAAATGCACTGAATTCATCTTCAGCACATACGCTGTGTTTGATTCAGTCACCTGTGTGACCAGGCAGGGAAAGCATGACCTTTTGTACCAGAAAAGTTGAAAAGAACTATTGAAGAATGAAATGATCACAAATATTGAAGCAATTGAGACCACGCAAAGAGACAGCAGCAAGGAAAGCAAAAACATATTACAAGATATATTTATAATAGCCACTTTAAAAATACAACCAAAATGATTGTAATAAGCTTTAGCAACAAGAAAAACTTTTATAGCAAATGGAAACAACACAGCACCGTTCCTTATTTATTGCTGAAACATTAGCTTCTGTGCTGTGTTTGCATTTTCTGGTCAGTTTTATTTATTGACATGTTTCCTGCAAGATACGCAGAACCACGCTGCTAAAAATAAGCTTTCACGTATGGGAAGTTATAAGATGGCTTGACTTTTAACCAATAACCTTTCAAACCACGGAGATAAATTCAAGGTGACAGTGCTGCTTCTGCCCCAACAACGAGAGCCAGGAGCTCAGCCTTCCCGTTAGGCGAGGTGCAGGGCATTAGTGCTGCAGCAAGCGCCCCTCCGCAGGGCCCACAGCGGGCCCTGGACCCCACAGCGG